TTGTCAAAAAACAATACAGAGTACACTTGGCGGCGGCGGCGGCTGCGGAGGCTGCGGCGGCGGCTGCGGCGGCGGCGGCGGCGGCGGCGGGGGCGGCGGGGGCGGCGGCGGCGGCGGCGGCGGCGGCGGCGGCGGTAGCGGTGGCGGCAGCGGCTGCGGCGGCGGCGGCGGTTTGGCAGCGGGGGGCGGCGGCGGCTGCGGCGGCGGCGGCGGCGGCGGCGGCGGCGGATTGGCCCGACGACTGCTGAATATGCTGAGCCTCGGGCCAGACTCGGGTGCTACGTATGTGTTGGGAGGGCGGGTGGGAGCGAGCGAGACGGCTTGCGGGCGGGGAGGGGGTGACTTGACCCTTACCCCTACCCCCTCCCCTGGACCTGGACGGGGGGGGTCGCGAGGGGTTGGAGCGTCCAAGATGGCCTCGGCGAGGAAGCCAAAACCATTGGTTTTACTATGGTTTTGCCACCATTTGTGGCCTCTCCGAGGGGGGCGCCCTAATTGAGGGACCCCCCTTCTTTGATCGATCTCTTCCCATATGGCCCCAAGAGGCGCCCAGGAGGCCCCCAGAGGCCCCAACATGGCCCCAAGATGGCCCCATGTGGCCCCAAAAGGCCCCCAAGAGGCCCCCAAGAGGCCCCCAAGAGGCCCCCAGGATGCCCCCAAGAGGCTCCCAAGAGACCCCAAAGAGGCCCCAAGGGGCCCCCCAGGGGCACCCAAGACGATCCAAGAGGCCTCGGCGAGGATGCCAAAATCATGTTACTTAGGTTTTGGCCACATGTTGGCCTCCTGGGGGGGGGGGGGGGGGGGGCGCTGCTCCAGATGACTCCAAGAGCGCCTGGGAGAGCCCAAGATGACCTCCAAGATGGCTCAAGGTACCCCAAGATGCCTCAAGATGGCTCCCACGATGCTCCAAGAGGCCCCAAGACCGCTCCAAGACGGCTCCAAGTGACCAAAGAGCTCCCCCAGGAGAGACCAGAGGAGCGGGGAGGGCACGCAACCTGGATCAACAACACGGTGCGCAAAAGCCTGCCGCCGTCTGGCGGGGCTTTCCTGGACAATCTGAAGGCCCTTGTGGGACTGGAGGAGCGGGGGGGCAAACGGAACGAAGGAGGAGGGAGGAAGGAGGAAGGAGGGGCTACTCTGAGAGAGCAAGAACCTGACTCAAGAAGTGATGAAGTCTAGTTCGGATCCAAACTAGACCCAAACTAGATTGGGGCGCGTAACGGCACCTACGCTATTCGCGTCGGGGTCATGGGAGGCCCCGCCGTCAATGTTTACTTGCAACCTGATGAACACAACCAAATATGAACAATAAGTGTTCGACAAAACGGAAATACTGTGTCTGGTCAAACTCAGGACAACCAAACGAACAGATTGATAAACAATATAACGAGCAACCTCGCAAACAACCTAACACACATCCTGACAAGCAACCGAACACACCATCTATCTCATGTGCTCACTAGCCTTACAAAGAATCGAATGTTAGCCGCAAGAATTTACCGAATGATGAAACATCAACCGCATGTGAGGTGAATGTTACCGTGCAAAGGGGGTTACGAATTCCATGTAATATTCGAACGGTTTGCGCCGTATGTCCATATCGCCAGATTCGGCAACGTTTGCCATACGTCTGTTTTTAGACTCATGGCGACGTAAGAGTTGAGGGGACACGACAAGAGGGGACCGGCTCAGGAGGGAACACATCGACCTGCAACCAACAATGTATCACCAATAGATCGGCCATAGGCCCCCGATTGCGAATCCGCATGCTTCTGGGCGGGGTGGGGTGGGCTATCAGGCGCCTGTCGGCGATGGATGGATGCTCTGGGGGTCGATGCATCCCCTCTCAGCCTGTCCCCCCCCCTAAACCTTGCCCCTGACATCCGACACCCCGCCCGGTGAAGGAACAAAAAGAGAAGCCACCCCAGCCGCAGCACGCGATTTCGGGGGCTGCATGCCCTTGGTGGCGCGCGCGCGCGCGACAATTCGACCGCGGCGTGTGGTAAGGCTTAGGTCGGGCATGTCCCCCTACAGGCGTATTTCGGACGAAAGATAAAAAATGTCAAAAACAAATAATTGACAAATCGCCCCCAGAATTTAATTTGTCCTATTTCTGATTTTTTTTAGTATCCCTCCTATAGAGGGACATGCCCGACTTCAGGTAAAGCTTGGGGCTGCGCGCAGACAGCCCCCCAGGCAGTCCCAGCTAGCCCCAACAGGCCCCCCGAATGGCCCAGGGCGGTCTCAATACCCCCGTCCTGTGGCGCCGGAGGCGGCGCCAGGGCGTTGAGAGTTGAGGCCACCGTGGAGTACTCGAGGGGCTTGTCGAGACCAGCTGGGACCACTCGGGGGGCTGTTGAGACCAGCTGGGACTACCTGGGGGGGCTGTACGAAAACTGCACCGTACCGCGTGTGGACTCCCTTCAAGCGCCGCCCCAATGCGGCGAAAAACAATGCATCCTCGCACCATTCCTGGGTCGAGGATCGACGACGCCTCGATGAGGCGCCAACGCGGTGCGGTGCACAAATGTTGTCATCTCTTGAGGACGCAATGGTTTACTTCCGCTGGCTTCCGCCGGCGAAGCCGGCCTCGCTTTCCGCCCGCGGGCTTCCGCCTCACCTCCGCCTCCCTTCCGCCGAGGAAGAGATGACAACTGCTTCGGCCTGCCAAGGCGAGGCCATTTCTGGAACACCTTACGAAGAAAATCCTGGAGGCCTCGCGCGGCAACTTGAGATCCGATTTACGTCGGATCTACGTCGGGTTTACGTCGGGTTCACGTCGGACTACGTCAGATTTACGCCGGACTGACTCCTGAGCATCGCCGCGCGAGCGTCGACCCATAGCTTACGGAACTGACAAGTGGACTAGATCATACTACTATTACGCGCCGCGCGAGGCCTCCAGGATTTTCCTCATTGAACACCGCACGGCGTCCGCGGAGGCTTGCCCGTGCGCAGCCCGAAGCCTCACCGGCGGCGGGCGCCCCGCGCCGGTCCCCTTCGGACGCGGCGTCGCGGCTCGGCTCGGCGGCGGAGGCCCAGGTTGGAGAGCAGCTCACGGAGGCTCGTGGTCGCCCCCGTGGCGCCCAGCAGCGCGCCCCAGTGCGCGCAAAGCCGACATGTTACCAGCCTCGAACGTATCCCTATCCCTAAGATTGACACGCCAAAAGGCGATGACAATCTTAGGGATTCGCCCACAAAAAATAAGGGAATCCCTAAGATTGGCATCGTGATGCCCAGCATAGGGATACGGATATGTTCCAGGCTGGTAAACATGATGCATCTCCATGGATGGAGCTATTGGGCTCTGCTGGGGGCGCCGCCTGAGCGCTCTTGAGCGCTGTCATCTGTGCCCGCGTCTGCGCGGTCCAGATTCCGGGGCGCGATCCCGCGGATACGCGATCGCACGGATACGCTGCGCGCGGGACATCCGCGAGAAAACGACCCATCTCCGCGGGATCGCGGCCCCAGGGCCCGGCCCGCGAGGCCGCAGATACGGATATGCTTTCGGCCACGACTAGCTGGCGCTAGAGCTCCTTTCTGTATTTTTGGCGATAGTGGGCATAATGGGGCGGGGCGGGTGGGGGTATAATGTAATGCCCCCCCCGCCGCGTGGCTCCAGCACCACAGCCGCGCCCGCGCGCACGACGACGATGAGCGACGAGCGACGAGCGACAACAACGACGACGCGAGCAGCATGTAGGTGGCGACCTGCCCCACAGCGCCTGTGTACACCACAATGCTCACGTGCACCACAGCGCGCTTGTACACCACAGCGCCTGCGTACACCGCAACAGCCGTGTGCGACGCAGCGCCTGTGTACACCATAATGCTTGCGTACACCACAGCGCCGGTGAACACCACAGCGAATGTGCAACACCGCAGCAGCCATGTGCAACACAGCGCCTGTGGACACCACAATGCTTGCATGCACTGCACCGCCTGTCCACACCACAGCGCATGTCTACACCGCAGCATCCGCGTGCACGCAGCGCTGGAGTACACCACAGTGCCTGCGTGCACAGGACAGGTATAACGAGCATGTAAGTGAGGATCAGCTGCGGACAACTAAACGCCACGCCAGGGAAGTGCTGATGATAGAATGCGACGTTCTTCTCTCCTCCCTCCTCCGCCACCTTCACCCCCTGCTCCCCTCCTCCTCCTCCTCTTCCGAGGGGGAAGAGAAGGAAGAGGAGGAGGAGGAAGAGGAGGAGGAGAGGGAGGAGCAGAAGGAAGAGAAAGAGTCTTTACCGGGAACACAAAATCACAATTTCGGATCCCTATGCGGATCCCAGTGCGAGTCCCTATGCAAATCCCTATGCGGATCCCACGGCGGATCCCTATGCGGATCCATGCGCGGATCCCTATGCGGATGCTTATGCGGATCCCGATGCGGATCCCGACGCGGCTCGGCCCGATGCGGATGCCTATGCGGATGCCCATGCGCAGTGCCATGCGAATCCCTATGCGAATTCCTACGCGTCTCCTTACGCGGCGGTCGGATCCCTATGCAGATGCGCATGCGCATGCCTATGCGGATCCCCATGAGATTTCCAATGCGGACCAGACTTCTATGCGGATTCCTATGCGGACGCCGATGGGGATCCCGATGCGCACGGCGGCAGTGCCCAGAGCGCAATGGGGGGGGAGGGGCGTTACTTTATGGGGGGGGCCGGGGGGGCTATACTGCCCAGTATGCCCAAAGCGATAAAGAAACACGCTCCTATTGAGCGCTATTGTGCGCTACAGTCGAGCCTAGGCCAGAAGAACATCCTTCAAGAATATGAGACCCTCCGACAGCCAATATGAAGAGCATTCGAGGGTAGGATGCACAGGACCGTCCAACAAGCACGAAGAACACGAAGGTGCCCTCCCAGAGCCGACATCGATCTTATACCTCGGTCCGACTGTACTCGCAAGTAGACACTCACTCAATCCAAGACAAGCGGAAGCTTCCGTGATTTGCTGCCTAACCAAGGGGGGGAGTGAGAAGGAGGGCCTCAGGCGCCCGCGCAGGGCACCCAGGCGGCCCTGGGCACCAGCACGCCAGCCTCCACCTCGAGGGGGACGGGCGTTGTCGTCGTCGGCCTCCTCCTCCTCCTCGGCGTTGTCGCTGGCCACGCCTGACCGAAGAAACCCCAGCTAAAAACCCGACGACCCTGTCGACGTGTGTGAAAGGATTTTCCATTTGAGTCGTCGTCGTCGTCGTCGCCGCTCCCCCCCCCAAGAGTTCCAGTCAGAGGGAAGTCGAGCAACGTCGTAATCGAGTCGACAAGAAGCCCTTTCCCTTTGATCCCTCCCCCGCCCAGGGGGGGGCGCCTGGGGGAGGTGCGGGGCGGGTTCCAGGGGTTGTGACCCCCCCCCCCCTGGAGGGGAGCACCACTCCGTGGGAGAAGCCTGTCGGCTCGAGAGCGTCAGCGTTGTCGTCATCGCCATCGTCATCGTCGACGTCGACGTCGTCGTCGTCGTCGTCGTCGTCGTCGTCGTCGTCGTCGTCGTCGTCGTCGTCGTCGTCGTCGTCGTCCCCCTTCAGGGTAGGCGGCACCAGCCAAGGCCTTCGCAATCAGGGGGCAATGCAGACAGGCGGCCACATGGGCCCCAGCAGTCCCCTGGGGGGGGGAGAGTGGTGCATGGACGAGGAGGGAAGGAGAGGAGGAGGGAGGAGGAGGAGGAGGAGGAGGGGAGGAGGGGAAGGGGAGGAGTAGGAGGAGGAGGAGGAGGAGGAGGAGGAGGACGAGGAGGACGAGGAGGGGCGGGAGGAGAACGACGGCGACGACGGGGCCAGACTTCCCTCCAGATCTGTTCCATGACGCCCCCCACGGGGTCCACCCTGGCTAGTTTTCCAGCTGCGTCCAGCCGTGGCGACGAGAACCCACAGAGGTGCCCCGAAAGCTCTGAAAACAGAACGCGGTCAATGTCATCGGCGGCGGCGGCGGCGGCGGCGACGGGGCGACGAGAAACCGCAGAGATGCCCGCGAACTCCCGAAACCAAGACGCCGACGACGCGGCGACGAGGCGGCGGGGCGACGAGAAACTGCAGAGACGCCCCCAACTCCCGAAACCAGGACGCCGACGACGCGGCGGCGGCGACGGGGCGACGAGAAACCGCAGAGATGCCCCCGAACTCCCGAAACCAGGACGCCGACGACGCGGCGACGAGGCGACGGGGCGACGAGAAACTCCAGAGGTGCTCCCGAACTCCCGAAACCAGGACGCCGTCGTCGTCGGCGGCGGCGACGAGGCGACGAGACCCTGCAGAATATGCCAAAAACAAATCCCTGGAGCCAGGACGCCGCCGTCGACGGCGGCGACCAGGCTCCGCCTTCTGGCAGCCGGGCGGGGAGCCCTGCACGAGCGACCAGGCGAACCCTGGGTGCGCCTTGCCAGCCTGCGGCGCCGGCGGGGCCCTCCTCCGCCTCCCCCTCCTCGGGGGGGTGGGGAGGGGACCTGGGAGGCAGGATGGGGGGGGGCAGGGGGAGGGGGAGGGGGAGGAGGAAGGAGGAGGAGGAGAGGAGGAGGAGGAGGAGGAGGAGGAGGAGGAGGGGAGGAGGAGGAGGAGGAGGGGGAGGAGGAGGAGAGAAGGAGGAGGAGGAGGAAGAGGAGGAGGAGGAGGAGGAGGAGGGGGAAGAGCAGCGCAGCAGGAGGAGCAGAGGAGGAGCAGGAGGAGGAGCAGGCGGAGGAGGAGGGAGGAGTGGCTTCCAATGATCCCCTATCGATATCAAGGATATCAGCAAATTGGTGTTTCGTTGTCAACGCCAAATTTCTATCGCCACCATCACAATCATCACCGCCCTCATGATCAACTATCATCGTCATAATCGTCATCGTCGTCATCGTCGTCATCGTCAGCATCAACCATCATCATCCGCCTCATCATCATCAGCATCCTCATCATCACCATCATCAGCAGCATCAGCAGCATCAGCATCAGCATCAGCATCAGCATCAGCATCAGCATCATCATCATCATCATCATCATCATCATCATCATCATCATCATCATCATCATCATCATCATCGTCATCATCATCATCAGCAGCAGCAGCATCAGCATCAGCATCAGCATCATCATGATCAGCATCAGCATCAGCATCAGCATCAGCATCCTCATCATCAGCAGCAGCAGCATTATCCTTGACATCATCGTCGTCATCATCAGCAGCATCAGAATCAGCATCATCAGCAGCAATCGCAGCATCATCATCACCATCCTCAGTATCATCACCACCCCCACCATCATCATCAGCATCAGCATGATCCTCATCATCATCATCGTCATCACAATCACCATCATCAGCAGCAGCATCAGAATCATCGTCACCACCGTCATCATCGTGATAGTAAACACAAGCATAATCATCATCATCATCATCATCATCATCATCATCATCATCATCATCATCATCATCATCATCATCATCATGATCATCATCATCATGATCATCATCATCATCATCATCATCATCATCATCATCATCATCATCGTCGTCACCATAAGCATCATCATCATCATCGTCACCATCATCGTCATCAGCAGCAGCATAGTCATCATCAGCATCATCATCAGCATCAGCATCACCATCACCATCGCCATCGCCATCGCAATCGCAGTAACCATCAGCATCAGCAGCAGCATCATCATCATTATCGTCACCAACAACTTCATCATCGCCGTCAGCATACTCAGATTCATGCTAATACTAGTAACCTTAAAATCACAATACTACGAATACTCATCATCATCATCTTTGTCAGCACCATCACCACTACCATCAGCAGCAGAAGCATCTCTGTCGCCTTCGAAATCGCTATCGTTATCGTAATCAGGAGAAGCAGCATCAGCACCAGCATCACCACCATCATCATCGTCGTCGTCAGCAGCAGCGTCAGCAGCAGCAGCAGCGGCAGCGTCATCATCATAACCACCATCAGCAGCATCATCATCACCACCACCACCAAAATCACATCCTCATCACCATCGCCATCACCACCATCAACATCACCATCACCATCATCAGCATCAGCATCATCATTACCACCAGAATCAGCATTATCATCATCACCACCAAAATCAGAATTATCATCATCATCACCACAACCACCACCAGCATCAGCATCATTGGCAGCATCATCATCAGCAGCAGCATCATCAGCATCATCAGCATCATCAGCAGCAGCAGCGGCAGCATAATCATCGTCAGCATCATCATCATCATCATCATCATCAGCATCATCATCACTATCACCATGATCAGCATCGTCATTAGCATCACCATCACCATCATCAGCATCATGTTTATCAGCATCATCATCACCATCAGTAGCATCATCATTATCATCACCATCACCATCATCATCATCATCAGCATCAGCATCAGCATCAGCATCAGCATCATCATCATCATCAGCATCATCATCATCATCATCATCAGCAGCATCATCATCCCATCATCCTCCTCATTCCTCGCAGCTATACTCCTCCTCGCCCTTTCCATCCAGAGCTCGAGGCGGCCACATTCTGGCCGCCCACAACACGGGCAACCGCGCAGGCCAGAACCCGTCGCGACGCAGCCCCGGGAAGGCGACGAAGGGGCCCACTGGCACCCCCACAAGGGTCCGCGAGGGAGGGGAGGGCGAGGGGCGAGAAGGATGGCCGAGATAGGATCGCCGCGCTCCGTGCGCGGCTCAAGGCCCTCCAGGCAGGGCAGCGCGCTCCCGCAGGCTATGAGCCCTGCGCCTTAGCATCCACCATCTGGTCCTCATGCTTCAGTGCTGATCGGGTTCGAGGGTGGTCGATGCCGAAGATGTGCACATCCCCGACTTCGACAACGACCTGGACCAACTTGAAGACGATCATCGCATCGTCCGCTCGATCGTGGTCGTGACGCGCCAGTCTCAAGATGATTTCACACACCTTTGACACAGACGGACTTTCTTGTGACGGACAGTCGTGACGCTGAGCCACGTCCAGCAAGAAGCGCAGCTCGCGATGGGTACCCGGTGACGCCACCGCCACGACAGCAGCAACGCGCAGCGCCGATCCGAGAAATCCGCGCAGGCCTTTGAAAGCTCATGCCAATGTCGTTGTGGTTCCTCGATTCTCCCCCACCTCCACCTCCCTCCTCTTATGGAGAGTCCCAAAAACCGTGCGACGACAGACCGTGCGGTGACCTCGAAATCCCGAAGGACCTCAGCACGCCGCTCACCACCGCACGGTTTTCGAGGCCCTGAAGGCCCCGGTCACCCGAACCAGCCTCGGAGAGGACGGCCCGGGTCCCAGAAACCGTGCGGTGATCCCGAATCCCCGCGGACTCACCACACGGTGTAGCCACCACACCGCTTGGGGGCCCCCGATCTCCCTCCCCATCCTCATCACGACCCCTCGCTCCGTCCTTGTAGGACTAGGTCGGGCATGTTCTCCTACGGGCAGATTTTGGAAGAAACGTAAGAGAGGGTCATAAAATAGTCAAAAGGGTACAGAAAAATCCTCACCCGACTAGTTTTTCTACCATTTCAATTCTCATCCTGTAGAGGGGCATGCCCGACTTGATTCCAGGGGCAGAACGGCGCACGCCTCCCGAGAAGTCGAACCCCTCGGACCTCCCGCGGAAGCGGACCAGGATCTCGAGGCGACGGAGTGCAGCCCGGGGCGGAAGGTCCGCTTCTAACCAGGATCTCAGAGCGACGGAGAGCAGCCCAGGAGGCGCAGCCAGCAAAAGACTCCCACCTCTCCCTGCTCCTCCTGCTCCTGCTCCTGCTCCTGCTCCTGCTCCTCCTCCTCCTCCTCCTCCTCCTCCTCCTCCTCCTCCTCCTCCTCCTCCTCCTCCTTCCTCCTCCTCCCTCCTCCTCCTCTCCTCCTCCTCCTCCTCCTCCTCCTCCTCCTCCTCCTTCCTCCTCCTCCTCCTTTCCTTCCTCCTCCTCCTTCCTCCTCCTCCCCTCCTCCTCATTCTTCTCCTCCTCTCTCCTCCTCCTCCTCCTCTCCTGCTCCTCTCCTCCTCAGGCTCCTCCTCCTCCTCCTCCCCTCCTCCTCTCCTCTCCTCCTCCTCCTCATCATCATCATCTCATCATCATCATCATCATCATCATCATTCATCATCATTCATCATCGCAGCATCATCATCGTCATCACCAGCATCATCACCATCATCACATCACCATCATCATCATCTCATCATCATCATCATCATCATCATCATCATCATCATCATCATCATCATCAATCATCATCATCATCATCATCATCATCATCATCATCATCATCATCATCATCATCATCATCCTCATCATCATCATCACCACCATCACCATCATCGTCAGCAGCAGCAGCATCAGCATAATCATCATCATGAGCATCAGCATCATCATCAGCAGCAGCATCATCATCATCAATCATCCTCATCATCATCCTCATCATCATCCTCATCCTCTTCCTCATCATCATCAGCATCATCATCATCAGCATCATCATCGTTATCATCAGCATCAGCACCTCATCATCATCATCATCATCATCATCATCATCATCCTCATCAGCATCCTCATCCTCATCATCATCATCAGCAGCATCAGCATCAGCATCAGCATCATCATCATCAGCATAATCATCGATATCATCAGCATCAGCATCAGCATCATCTTCATAATAATCAACATCATCAGCAGCATCATCGTCGTCATCTTCATCGTTGTCATCATCAACATCATCAGCATCATCATCATCAGCATCAGCATCATCATCATCATCATCATCATCATCATCATCATCATCATCATCATCATCATCATCATCATCGTCCTCCTCCTCCCCCTCCTCCTCCTCCTCCTCATCCTCCTCCTCCTCCTCCTCCTCCTCCTCCCCGTGCGCCATGATCCTCCTCGTCTGGAGGAGAGGTCCTGCGCCGATCGAAGAAGTCCTCATGGACCTCCGCAAGCTTATTCTCCACCCGACAGTCTGGGGCTGATAGACTGAGAGAAGTGAGCTCCCGTCCAGCCTCGCATACCCTGCATACCGCGGGTCCCGCTGCTTCCAGGGTAGCCCGCATTGCGTCTTCGACAAAGGACGACTGCATACCGCGGCCGGCAAGCCCCGAGGGGCCCCCGTGCTCCCTGGGGATCCCGCCTCGCGGCCTCGGGTGGGGATACCCCGAAAATCAGGGATTCCGTCCCTGCGCCCGGCCGAGCGCAGGCAGGGAAGCCGGCGCACAGGCGCGAGAGCTCGGCGCGCTTCGCCGCCCTGGCAGCAGCCCCAGGTGTCCTCTCCCCATGTCGCCTCGTCGTTCGTTCCCTTATCTGCGCTCGTGTCCCTGTCGTCGTCCTCCTCCTCCGAAGCGTGCGGGATTCCCGAGGGTGCAGGACACTCCGAAGGGGGTCCAGACTTCATTCTAGCTCCGTCCAGAAATAACCCCGTGCTGGTGAGAAGACTCCCCTGGGGCTGTCAAAGTTCGGGGTCCAGGCGTGGAAATAAGGATGTTAGGATGTTAGGATCGGTCTTCTAGATCGGTCGTCATGAGCCTCCATGATCTTTCTGGACGGCCTCTTTGGAGAGGCGGGAAGAGCACAACTCCTGGGAAATACGAAGGTGAAATGGTACATTGGTCCTTCTTGGAAAAAACTGATAGCAGCGAACTCGGCAAATCTTCGAAACTTTGCGTTTCGCCTGAGACATCCTCAAAAATGATGAGAAGGATTACTCATTGAGATGAAGATCAGAGCTACGATGGGAACTTTGGAGGGAAAAATTAAAAGGTCGGCCTCCCCACCCGCTGTGGCAATTGAACCACATCCAATCCCGTGGATGAAGAGGTCCAAAGGTTAAGAGGGGAATGCTTTATTGTCCGGGGGGTGGGGTGAAGATTGCCGCTCCTTTTTCCTCAGGCAATCGCCCTGCCCCGTTAGAGGCCTTCCGTACAGATGGGGTCGATGGGGTCGAAAGGTCGGGCCGCATGGCCGATGCACCAGCGACCGCGGCGATACATCGGCCACGTCGACGTGGAGAAAATCGGGCTCCACATCGAGCCGCATCGCCGATACATCAGCGATGCGCGCGACCCCCCGACTCCATCTGCTCCGACCCCATTTGGGAGGCCTAGGCACTTCTGAGCAGGGACCGACCGTCCTGGCATTCCTGTAGTCCTACCACGGCATGTTCTTTGAATTAGACAGTGTTCGAAGAACAAAAGAAGTGATCTGAGCGTGAAGCAGATAGACTCGAACACGGCAGCCTCAGCCAGAGAGGTCTTCGGTCCGTGGCCTGCACATCATTAAGAAGTTCTTGGAAGATTCTGTGGCAGGCCTGTAGGCAAGTCTCGGGCCGGGCGAAAAGGGGCGATAGCAAAGGGGGCTTTGAGAATCAGCTCACGTAGCTGATTTTCCAGGCGCCTCCCAGCTCCAGGAGGCGTCCATGTATCGGGCCCAGCGGCGGGGCCGAAACCAGCTGCGTGCAGCAGATTTCGTAGCCCCCCCTTTCCCTATCCCCCCATTTCGTTCGGCCCGAAAGTCAGGCCGCCTCGACACCGCTTTCGGGCGCGACGATGGGGGCGAATGGCCCAGGGGCGGGCATTACACGTACTCGCCCGCGGGCCTCTTCGAAGACGTAGATCCTCGGCGCACCCGAACATATGTATTGCTCTCCCCTGGGCTATTCGCCCCCATCGTCGCCTCTGATGCTTGCCCCATTCGGGCGTTGGTAGAACTGGGTTTAGTGGAACCTGGTTTAGTGATCTGTACCGGGGGCGCCCCCCCGACCCATTTCCACTAACCGGAACTGCCGTCACCCGACAAAACACCAGCTATGGCAAACCTGGTTCAGTGATTCTTGCCAATTCGAAGGCTCCAGGGCCCTACCACTAACCGGGTCCCCTTACCTGGGGTCCTGGCCATATGCCATACCCGCTCTGATGCTTGCCCCCTACCCCTATCCCTACCCCCAACGATTTCTGAGGGGGGGGGGGGGGTCAC